CGTGTGTCGTACAATCCGAATTGGCGGGATATGTCGACCTAAGAATTTACTACATACTGGAAAATATTTTCAAGATTTAGATACGATGGCTCGATAATATATTCAGGTTCAACTGGCGATATACACGATCTTTTCGCCTTATATATCTAATACAATGCATAAACAAGTCTAAATTGAAAACAACGTTCAAACCTAAGATTGCGTTGGATAAAAACCGCAATTTGTATACGTGTGCATGCAAAACAAATTTCTTGGTAGAGGGGTCTAAATACAGCACAAACAACATTTTCCAAAAGATCAAAAAAGTGAAAAAGTATATTTTAACAAAACACATTTGACTAACAGGTCGAACAACGGATGTTCTTAACCCCTGCTGACTGCCATTGGCGATTGCCAAATAAACGGATCACAAGATGTAACAAAATTGATCTATATTATTAATTTAATACCAAACAGAAAACAATAAACTTGCGGAAAAGATGGTATACCGCAAACATGAGGTGCAAAAATTTGTACACCATATCCGGATTTCGACAATTAATGTCTCTTCAGTGATGTTAGGAATCGAAACGGTATTTGGAAGACCATATAATTTACCTCAATTTAGGATATACTCTTGAATTTTGAAGAGTCGAAATATATACCCTACTAAATTGTACTTACCACTTTTCTCAAAATGAAGTGAACATTTCTTGACAATCCTTTCAATATAAAGACAAACTTTTCCAAAATGAAGGTATTTTAGAGATGAAAACGTACATCCAACTTACTGAAACGTTTCATTATTTCACAGAAAAAGCTCATATGTATTTAAAAGGTTTATGGAAGACGCGGTTCATAAGAAATACTAGCAGTCTCGTAAAAAGACGAAATAGACAAATCTTTTGAAAATACAAGACATGCATTTTTTTTATGTTGTTGTTGGCTTTGAACTAGTTGTCACTATCACATCTATAATTTGTGTCTTTTTGTTGTTGTTACCCTGCTACGTTTGTTCTTACACTATGTTGTAATGTAACACCAGTGTCCCAGGTTAGGGGGATAGTTGAGCGCTCAAACATGTTTAATCCCGCCACATTCTTTATGTGTCTGTTCCAAGTCCGGGGCCTGCAGTTTAGTGCATTGTCTTGGTTCATAGAATTGAGAATGGAAATGGGGGGAATATGTCAAAGAGAAAACAACCCGATCAAAGAGCAGACAACAGCCGAAGGCCACCAATGGGTCTTCAACGCAGCGAGAAAATCCCGCACCCGGAGATGGTCCTCAGCTGGACCCTAAATAAAATTGTGTACTAGTTCAGTGAAAATGGACGTCACACTAAAACTCCAAAACATATCAATTAACTAAAATTAAAAAACATACAAGACTAACAAAGGCCAGAGGCTCCTGACTTGGGACAGGCGGAAAAATGCGGCGGGGTTAGACATGTTTTGTGAATCTCAACCCTCCCCCTATACCTCTAGCCAACGTAGAATAAAGAAAACCATAGCAATACGCACAGTAAAACTCAGTTTAAAAGAAGTCCAAGTCCGATGTCAGAATAGGTAACAAAATAAACTAAGCTAAATGACAATGATACATAAATGAACAAAGGACTACTAGCAGTTACTGACATGCCAGCTCCAGACCTCAACTAAACTGATTGGAAGATTATGTCTTCATCATAAGAAAATCAAGTACAATCCCTCCCGTTAGGAGTTTAGTATCATACCATCATAAAATATATGAGAAGAACATAAACCGTATCATGCCAACAACTGGTTTTAGAATAAATGTGTTTATTTCCGATGCAAAGACCCTATGAGTGAATCAATATTAATACCAAAATATGCAATCATTAATGACTTATTGACAACAGTATCGTAACTACCGGTATATCCTTTCCGAATAGGTCTGTTTAAAGGTTTGGTTAGATTTTGAGGTGAATGCCGACATTTTTGTGCTTTGTAAAGAATATTTCCATAAAATATTGGATGTGAAATACCTGAACGTATAAGAAGTCTGCATGTTGATTTATATTTACGAATGATGTCTGCCATATTTGTTTTACGCAAATTGTTTTGCTATAAATCATATAGGCCTTTAGCTTTCTAAATTGAGTTGTTTATTTCTTTTTCATATTGGGGCCTTTTATAGGCGACTATATGGTATGGGGTTTTCTCATTGTTGAAGGCCGTACGGTTGCTTATAATTGCTTACATCAACTTCATTTGAACTTTGGTGGCTAGTTGTCTCATGGGCTATCATACCACATCTCCTTATTTTCAAACTTAACAGAACTAACTTACTTACTAAATCCTCAACATAAACAACGGGGAAAAAATGTCACAGAGGGAAAATGGACAAAAATTGATTTTGAGACTTTTCGGAAAAGATTTTGTAAAATCACCGTTTTTGTTATATTTGCAATATTTTAAGGGATTTTGTTATTTTTATTGTGAAAGGTTTAAGTCAAGTTTAGAAGATGATGTGGCAGATTGGATTTAGTATTACACTGAGCAGTTCCAACTCTGTACAATTGTATTCCATGCTGAACTTATTAAATTATACATCGCTCTAACCAGAGTCGTCTTTTGTTGCAAGAGCTAGTCCCAGAGTCAGAGTCCTTGCAGACTTGTCGTACTGTTTATTGTGTGTGTGTGGTTCCAGGCCGACACATTACCCAGTCACAAGATACACCCAGTTTCTATTTGTGACAAAAATATAAAAACAAGATGAACAAAACACTGGGGCTTGATATTTGCAAAAACCTGACTGCACAAATCTGTTTCAGAGGAAACCAATAATTTCTAATAAAAGAAGCGAGAACTTACAATTGTTTACTATAAACCTTAAAATAATAAATATGTGAAACACAAAAAACAAAAAACTTCTTATATTAACTCTGATATATGCTTTCGTATATATTACACGACTGAAACACCAGACTTAATGTAAGGGCTCATTGGTGAACGTTGATGCTTTAAGGTAGCACAATACAAAGATTTTTTTACTTCCAATCTCCAACCTTTAAAATGATGTTACTTTCTTATGACTGCATACAAATTAATAAAAGAGGTATATATAGATAGATAAAAGATTAATCTTTTAAATGAATGCAATATTTTTGTTATGCAATCATTATGTAATCAATTATTATGCAATTAATGGCAAAATCTTGGTCTGTTCACTTGAATGAATTTAGCTCTGACATCTCTATAACTACACAAGAAATTTTAACGTTATCTTAATCAACACAGCAGGAGCTACAAAAGGGTGTCTCAAATTATCGCTATCGTATTCCATTCTTTCATAAATCTGTAATTAGTGTAAACATCCTTACCACATAAAAGTAGAGATTATTTGATTAGGTGTAAAATTTGATCTATACATTCTATCCAAAATCTGAGACACCCTTTTGTAGATAATGGCTCTAGGAACAACAAATTATAAAATCAACCCTCTCGGGGTATCCATGAAGAAGCTAATTTCAATTGAAAGTGGAAATTTCTTGTAAAATTTTGTAGACACAGTTAAAATTATAATTAATTACATAATTGTTGTATACTACTAACATTGCATTAATTTGAAAGAGTAATCTGTTAGCTATCCATAAATACCACTTTTATAAATTTTCAAGCATTATAAAGAAAGTTACAGCATTTTAAAACTGGGGAGTTGGAGGTATAAAATCTTTGTATTGTGCTACCTTAATTGACGCACAGGGAGCAATCGTTGATATTTATTGTTATTTTCTGATATCAAAAAATCATTTTTGATATCAGAAAATGTATTTTCTTGATATCAAAATACCGTCAGTAATATTTGATGCCAGAAAATCTATTTTTTGATATCAGAAAATGGATTTCTTGATATCAAAAAATGATTTTCTGATATCAAAAAATCGAATTTCTGATATCAAGAAATAAAGATTATTTTCTGATATCAAGAAATCGAATTCTTGATATCAAAAAAGGCAATTTTTGATAGAAAAAATTGAATTCCTGATATCAAGAAATATTTTTTGATATCAAGAAATATTTCCTGATATCAAAAAATCATTTTTTGATATCAGGAATTCAATTTTTTGATATCAAGAAATATTTTTTGATATCAGAAAATAAAGAATAAATAGTAAAACGGCGCCTCATACTCCCCTATTCACAGGGTTTAAGCAAGTATTCTTAAGGCTTTTGTCACTTTTGCGTTATACGAAACCGACCTTTTTGGGTAACAGCATGTTTAAGGCAGTTGTTACATGGGCTTTAATACATGCAAAAAAACATGTTTAATATGATCTTTCATTTTCTTTTTCAGCAGTTCAGTAGTATATGAATAATTTAAACAATAAAGATTAAAACTAAACAAACTGTTATGTTAATAACAATACATATCATATATAAAAAGTAGTTTTTTAACATCTAAAATAGCTACTATTGTTAACATAAAATAGCTACTATTTGCCTGAAAATAGACGGCGGCCACCATCTTTTATCTGAATAGCTCTGTTCACTTATGCATTTACTTATTGCTGACTGATATATAAATATTTGATATTTATATGTTATATGTAATTTTAGAAACTTGTACCTTTAGAAATTTAAACCTAATTTCTAATGAGAGGTTTCATAGTTAATGTCATTGCGTACGGGAAATCTGGAAGACAATAATTCAATAAAAGTACATTTCTAAGGATTTTAATAAAATAATGGATTTTCTTTTGAAAGAAAATATGTGTACCCATGTTTTATATTTAAAGAAAATCTTTGTACACATTTTTTATAGTAAATCTTAGCTGTTCAGATATAATATAAAAATTTCTTTTTGATGATGATGGGAGTTTTTAACGACCTTGACTGGCTATACAGCCCTCGCACGGTCGGCCCTGGCTTGCGCCTTTTTGGGCATTTAAATAATTTGTTTTTACCATAAGGTAATTGAAATTAAGTATCATGAATTTTTATCCGGATCATTTTCGTGTCAAATCCGGTCCGCCCTGATAGCTTAGTTATTGTCTTACATTTCCGGCTTCAGAAAAGGAGTTTGTTGTTGTTTTTATTTGTTTACAGTATAATTTTTAAGCAATGCCGTGACAGGTATTTGAAATGATTATTTTGTCATCAAAAATTACTAGAAAGCCAAGCTTCAATGTGTTGAAAAAAGACTAGCGCATTTTCTGTCTCAAGAACGAAGTAGATGGAGTAACGTATAATTTTTTGTCGAGCACCTGTTACTGTCAGAAAACACAGTTCTCTTATGATTATGATTATGTGACCTATATTCATACAAGGTAGTAGGAGCCGGGATAAAAATCGCCAAACTCTCCAATTTTTTTACCAAAAAAGATAATGAAATTGAAAGAAGACACTGACTAACTTCTAGACTTTTGTTTTGTTTTCGCTTGTCATTTTCAGAAGTTTTTCCCCACCCCCACTTTTAAGTGTACTCCTACATCACTATTATATTGTACATACAGTCAAAGATACCAGGACAGGTGTCATATACATAATTATCCTCCTTTACAATGCAGCCTGCCATGGTCAGTGGTAGAAACTTGTAAAGGCAACCTAGGCCTTGCACATTATACATACATGTATGAGGGTAAGAATGCCTTTTACCGTCAGGCTCGGCTACTGTTAACGTCAAATTGGTTACAGTTTTATTGTGATTCGTCAAAATATCCTTATTGGGATTTGTCACAGGTGTCTCAAATAATTAACGGTTACAGTTGTTATTGGAAAGAATTTATCATGATTCGTCAAAATCAGTCGATTTTTTTATCGTCATAAAGTAAATGTATATTTTATCGTCATACACCAAAAATTACCGTTAACGTCATTTGGCAAGTTTTTTTACTGTTATTTGTCATGAAGGTACCCCCATTACGACCCTCATGTATGGCTATAATGGGTCGCACTAATTAGCAACAAGAAGTGTCAAGACGCGACAAGAAGCGTCAAGAAGCAACAAGAATAAAAATTTAGCGACAAGAAAATAAATTTAGCATCAAGATATCTAAATAATGATTATTTCAAATAAATAGATATAGAAACATGCACTAAAGTGTGTCAGTGTGTGGTTTTGTTTTAAATATACACGTATTTTCATTATTTTATGATACAGATATAGAAAATAAACATTTGTCCTTTTGTTCTAGAAAGAGATTTTTTGGTTATCAAGAATGTGTTTAAATAGATATATTTACAGTTGAATGAATCAATAATATGTAGTCGGCATTGTTAATATATAAAAGGTTCAAACTTAATTATAAGATAATCGTATCTTTATTTATTTCACTCAAAAGGTCCGATGAGACTTTCTTGTCGCTAAATTTGTCTTCTTGTCGCTAATTTTTTCTTCTTGTCACTATTTTTTTTCTTCTTGTCGCTAATTAGTGAGACTGGTTTTATCACTACCTTATACTACACAGCTGAACACCACCAAATACCAAAAAAAGACCACCAACACTTTTCAGTGGCAAACATTTCATGCATGTTCAGGACGATAAGCAGTAATTTTGCATAATGCATTCCATTAAGTAACATTGTTTCTACATTATTTTTATGTGAACAGACATCTAGCTATTTTGAGAATCAAAATAAGCAGACTTTTCAGGAAGCAAGATTTTTCAGGATTCACATGGTACAAAAATGTATATTATATTTCATTACTTACTGTTATGGTCTTTACTTTTCAGTTATTACAAATATAGTTTAAACATTTTATTGAATGTGATATTATAATTAGCACAATAATTAAATGTAATATAATTGTTTTATATATATTTGTTAAATTTTGTTTTTATTATAAAAATTAATTAATTATAGAGTTGACTGGGATTATCAAAGATAACTAATTTTGAAGAAGCTGATTTAAACTGATCCATGCAAATTTGATGTAATTTACACACTAATTAAGAAGACCATTCGGAACATGTACTGTTCTGAAAATAGCCCTTTTATTGTCGAGCCTTCGACTTTTGTCGAAAAAGCGAGACATAGCGATCCTACATTCCGTCGGCGGCGGCGTCCACAAATATTCACTCTGTGGTTAAAGTTTTTGAAATTTTAATAACTTTCTTAAACTATCCTGGATTTCTACCAAACTTGGACAGAAACTTGTTTATGATCATAAGATTATATTCAAAAGTAAATTTTGTAAAAAAAAAATTCCAATTTTTCCGTATTTTACTGATAAATGGACTTAGTTTTTTTGCCAGGAAACATTACATTCATTCTGTGGTTAAAGTTTTTGAAATTTTAATAACTTTCTTAAACTATCCTGGATTTCTACCAAACTTGGACAGAAGCTTGTTTATGATCATAAGATTATATTCAAAAGCAAATTTTGTAAAAAAAAAAATCCATTTTTTCCGTATTTTACTTATAAATGGACTTAGCTTTTCTGCCAGGAAACATTACAATCACTCTGTGGTTAAAGTTTTTGAAATTTTAATAACTTTCTTAAACTATCCTGGATTTCTACCAAACTTGGAAAGAAGCTTGTTTATGATCATAAGATAGTATCCAGAAGTAAATTTTGTAAAAAAAAAATTCCATTTTTTCCGTATTTTACTTATAAATGGACTTAGTTTTTCATGCCAGTTAACATTACATTCACTCTGTGGTTAAAGTTTTTAAAATTTTAACAACTTTCTTAAACTATCCTGGATTTGTACCATACTTGGACAGAAGCTTGTTTATGATCAAAAGCTAGTATCTAGAAGGAAATTTTGATAAAATTTTGTTCCATTTTTTCCGTATTTTACTTATAAATGGACTTAGTTTTTCTTCCAGTCAACATTACATACAGTCTGCAGTTTAAGTTTTTAAAACATTTATTAGATTCATAAATTATCCTGGATTTTTACCAAACTTGGACAGAAGCTACTTACAATCAAAAGATAGTATAGAGAGGAATATTTTTTTTTTTTTTCCTCATTTTTGTTGAGCCTGCGATTAACAGCAAAAGTAGGCGAGACACTGGGTTCCGCGGAACCCTTACGAATTTTATGTTTTAAGACTGTTCTTTTTGGTTCTCTGGTGATATCTGGTTACTTTTTAAGTGATGGACTACAACACAGTAACTTAAAAAATAACTGTTATATGTATAATTTTGTAGACCAACCTTAAGATTGTATGTACATGTAGAATGCAGATGAAATGGGTGAATTATCAAAAGACATATCTGTCATTAGTGTAGTATTGTTTATAGGAGCAGGTGCATTGGTATGTATGTGTCTTAACGTTACCATGATTGTATATATAAAAAAAAAATACAGTGATTTATTCCATATCGATTATTTTCTGTTTTGTCTTTAATACTTTGTAAAAACATTAAAAATTAATATATTGAGGTTTACTTTTAAAACAAGTTCATGGAAATTGCCCCAAAAAAACTGGATGTGAGGACAAAATTTAAAGCAACACTTTTAACATCATCAGAGTAGAAAACAAATTAACAATACATGTTTGTATACATGTACTAAGATAAATATTTGTTAATATTCACAGGATTTGTCAAATTGTGATGTCCAAAATTTTAGATTATCTCTAATATAAAAATGAGGGAGATGTGGTATGATTGCTAATGAGACAACTATCCACAAAGTTCAAATGAAGTGGATGTAAGTAATTATAGGCAACCGTACGGCCTTCAACAATGAAAAGAAACCCATACCGTATATTCAGCTATAAAAGGCCCAGCATGAAAAATATGAAACAATTCAATTTGACAAAACTAACTGCTTAATTTATAACAAAACAATTTATGAAGAAAAATATGACGGACATGTTCCATCGACAACCATTGAACTACAGGCTCCTGACTTGGAACAGGCACATAATGAATGTATGTTTGACCATATATGTTTTAGGTGCTGATACCTCAAATTTAAATGTGCATGAAAAATGCATCAGATTTTTTTTTTCTTTTAGGTATTCTTCCTTTTGTTTATTCTTGCAAAGAGACAAATTATAAGATTTGCATGGAAGGCAACTAGACCACCACATGTTTCCATTGGGCTTGATGCACCAAAAGTAGGTTTTCTGTTTTATTATAAAAAAACATACACTTTCTCTTTGCATTTATTGCAAACCAAATGAAACTTTTCCACAGATTCATCTCCTATTGGTCAATTGATTTAAACTTTTGTCTGTTCTATTGTCCAATTAAATAAATACAATAGCTGTTGTTCTCTGTGTTTTTTATTGAGGGTTGTAATGGGGGTACCTTCATGACGAATAACGGTAAAAAATCTGGCAAAATGATGTTAACTGTTATTTTTGGTGCATGACGATAAAATGTACATTTTCTTTATGACATAAAAAAATCGTTTGATTTTGACTCATCACAATAATTTTTTACCAAAAATAGCGGTAATGGATAATTCTTTGAGACCTCTTACGAATCACGAGAAGGATATTTTGACAAATCACTTTAAAATTTTAACCAATTTTACCTAAAGGTAGCTTAATAATGACCGTTTGACGCCTGACAGTAAAGGGCATTCCTACCCTCTTTATTCACTAGGATAAAATTTGAAAAAAAGGCAGGACAGAAGTTTTGAGTAAAAAAAAAAGGCAGGATGACAAATTATGTATAAAAAGTCGGGATAAACTAATATAAAAAAATGCAGGACTGAATAAAGTGAAAAATAAAAAGGCAGGACCGAGATTACAACTAAAAAAAAATGCAGGACACAGTTTTTCATCCTAGCCCCCCATAAAAATCAAATGGTAGCTCTTGATTGGGGCTCCCTAAGAAGGCCATAATGTAAACATTATCATTTTCCAGTTTTAATTTGTCAAACCCCCCAAAAAAAACAAATTTAAATAGGAACAATGTTGAAAATTTTGTCAGAAATCAACTTTTATCAATGTTTGAATCACTGTTTACATTCAACAGATTGAAAATATATTATTGATATTGAATAAACACAACATCACATGCTGTTTTGTGAGTGTAAAACATGTGTTTTCATCTTTAAGAAGATAATTTTTTTACTCAGGACTGAGGTAAATTAATCAATGAGTGATGGATATCTTTTAGTAGAAATTTAGTTATTTATCAGTGCTTAGAACAAATCAGGTATGAAATTTCATATTGTTCAGCCTGTAAAATTGCTGGCACAGAAGCATTTCATTGTGACTTCAGGAATGAATTTGACTCCTTATGAAAAAAAAATGAGCCCAACATAATTCTTGTCCACCAAAACCATGACAGAAGTCTGATGATGTTTTTCTGGAGCATTCAATGAATACAATATTATGAAAAAGTTGAAATAAGTGAGTTTTAATTGAATAAGCATCTACATTTTGTTAACTTATTGTAAACAAATTCTGATCTGGGATTTTTTTTTAAATAGAGAATTTAAAAAAAATAACAGGAGGCTCCCAACAATACACAATTGTATTTGAAAAAGCTAAAATCAAAGTATGATTTATGGACATAATGGTTATTGTATTCCTCAAATCTGTATATTTTACTGAATATGTAGGAAGTAATTGTGACTGGATGTTTAGGAATCAACAATCAAGAGATAGATGTATCAATCAATAAGTTAAAATGTGTATTTATAAACAATTGATATTGTTGTGTGAAAGAAGAATGTAAAGTAACTGAAATTTAAAAAAACTTAAGGATGTTCACTACTCTGTTTCAAAATAATAAGCTTTTTAAAAGACTGTTATAAATTGATAGTATATAAATAAAGGAACTAAAAAAGCAGATAAAAATGAAGGGTCCGTGTGTTTGTTTTCTAGATATAAGCCATTGAAAATTTGGCCGGAAATGATTCTCTCTAGATTTTTCATACATTTAACATTGGCACCTTTTTTCTGTCTAAAAGTATGAAAAAATAACAAGGATTTAATAAGATTTTCAAAGATGGCATTTCAAACTATATTTAATCAAATTATGAAAAGAAAAGTAGGGGTTAGTGGGCAAACATTTTTAATGGCACTACATGGATAAAACCAGAGGATTAAATATCTCTAGCTTAATCTCATTTAGAAGGGAGATTTTCTAACACATGTTAAGAAAGGAAACTATTGAACGATTAACATCTATGTTATTTTTATCATTCAATGATAGGATTTAAAAGAGAAGATTTTAAGCCAACTGGAAAGGACAGCACATATTAGACATGAACCATTATTACTGAACCCCAAGGTTTCAGAAATAGCTAAAACAGGTAAAAACTACAATAATGTTTTCGCTGGTATTCCTCTAACAATGATACATGTTCTGCAAAAATATACTCTTTAAAATTGAAGACATTTTGCCAGGTATATTTGATAATGTGTATCATTTTCTAATTGTAAAGGGGGAATATGTTTAGAGAGGTTCCAATATAATTTTTATGATGTGACTGTAAAAAAGATTCTGTGCATAATTTTTAAATTACTTGTCTCATAATCATAATATTACTGTAGTGAATTTTAGCAGATCTCTGTAGAAAGAAAGACAACTCAAAGTACAATGTATAAATGCCTTTTCATATGCATATTATTCCCTTTTAAATTATTAAACAAAAAAAGAAGGACACATGGTGTGATTTAATACTAGCTATCCATTAAAAACAAAAGGACAAAGAAGTGAACATTTAAAGGTCATTTTTATGTCCATTTAATATGTGTATTCTATACTTCTATTTTCCTGATACATGTATATAATTTGCTATACTTCGGAAAGTATGAAAGTTACATATATCATATTTTTGATATTCTCATGCAAAATTTCATAAAAATCTGTACATCCTTAACATGCTCAGTATATAACAACTGTTTGCTTCAGAAAAGTTGCCAGAATAGTTTATTCCCTGGAATATATAATTTTATTTAAGAATAAAATGTTTTTAAAAAAGATCTGTAATTAGTTTAATTTTATTAATGATTTCAGTTCCTAATCATTATTACTACAGAATGAAAGCAGTAGATGCCTTCTCTAAATTTGGTGAGTATTTTATAAATATTAAAAAATTGAGATAGATTTGGAGAGTATGAAATAGCTATACTAAATTTATATGCTAAGTGGTACAAACAACCACCATGTCAAAATAATTTATAACCAGTAATAGTATGATGATACATTGTATATTTTTAGATGAAATAACTATTAGGACAATTGAAGGACAGTTTTCAGGTTTGTGGAAACCTTTTTGATATATCAGTTGAAGGGTTTTTATTAATTTTCAGTATTTCTGCTTTATGTCTTGTAAATCAAAAACTAAGTTGAGACATTTGAATTTTTTCTAGTCACTAAAATAAATTGGTTTATGATACAAAATAGCAAAATTCTTCAATCTTTTGAAATCTGTGTTAAATTTATTGGAAAATGATTAAGATGATCTGGTGCAGATTTACCCCACCCCCCTAAAAGAAGAAAAAATAATGTGTATTATTGGTAAAATTACAGACAATTTTGAGTTAAAATTAGGTCATCTTATTTTTACTTCTCAGAAGCGCCCTCCTAAAATTAAATCCTGTATCTGACCTGATGATAGTCTAGCCACTTTGGTGCAGACAATTTATGGTGTCAGTTTTATGCAGTACATATGTCATTGTAAATGCAAGAAGCTAGAAGACCAAAATTAGATATTTTAAAAAAGTTTTAAAATTCAAAAACATTATTACTAATATCTGACAGAATTATGTCTGTTGGACATCTGAAGGAGGGTGTTAATACTTTGTGATTAGCCAATAAAGTTGGCATATGGTACCTTCCCCTTGGACAAGTCACAAAATGTTATTCCATCAAAACTAATTTTGCATTTAATATTTACTGTGTCTTTTTTTCAGATGAAGTTCTAAAAGAAGAAGAACCAGAATCTATAGGCAGACATCCATCAAAGAATGTTAGAAAATATCTGTTTGGTCTATATACAGAATATCTGAGTACGTCTTCTGAAGATCTCATTCATAAATTCTGTGATTCATATGAACATGCTAGACATGATCCTAACGACTTTGGTGAAGATCAGTATAATAATTACATGTTGCTTTTAGAAGAACTTATAACATGTTTACGAGTGGGTCTCAGAAAGAAGCGTGGTATGCCTTTAGAAAAAGCTTCTAAGCTTGAAACTGAGGTTATATTTGACTCGGAAAGGAAGGGTATTGTAAAAACTAAGACAAATGTTCATCCTGATAAAGCAGAAACTAAAGGAAAAAGTGGAACGAGACCTGGAGAAATAAGATACAGGTCTAGAACAGATAGTAGTGTTCATTCTAGTTTACTGGACAGTGGTCATTCTAGTCAAAGTAGTGCTAGTATAGAATTAACTACAAGTACACGAGGTGGTAGCACTGAGAGAGATAATAAAGATTCTCAACACAGGACTGATACTGCTTGTTGAATAAAATTCTCCTCAGATGACTATGGTATATGAACACTTTTTGTTCGTTAAAGCTTTGATTTACATTGTTCTACTGACATTTTGTAGTCCAGTGTATCACTGTATGTACTCTCTAAATAGAAAAAAAATATTGCTATTGAAACATTATTGGTGATCTATTTTGTTGGAACGCACCACAGTTTATTTAATACAATCATCTTTTTAAAAAAGCTTACCTGAGCCTAAAGGTCAAGTAAGCTTTTCTCATCAAGTAAGCTTTTCTCATCAAGTAGCAGACGTCATTGTTGTCATCCTTTAACTTTTATAAAAATCCTCTCCTCAGAACTACTGAGAAAATTGAATCCAAACATGGCCACAATCATCATTTGGATATTTTTATGTCCCCGCTGCACACTAACTTTAGTTTGCCATAACCAAATGTTATGAAACTTATACACAATGCTTTTTACCACAAAACACAGATCAAGAATGAATTTGGGTGGCATCACTTTTACTGTTCTAGAGTTATGCCCCTTTACAAGTTTCCGATCACTGTATGTACTCTCTAAATAAAAAAAAAAATATTGCTATTGAAACATTATTGGTGATCTATTTTGTTGGAACGCACCACAGTTTATTTAATACAATCATCTTTTTAAAAAAGCTTACCTGAGCCTAAAGGTCAAGTAAGCTTTTCTCATCAAGTAGCATCCGTCATTGTTGTTATCCTTTAACTTTTATAAAAATCCTCTCCTCAGAACTACTGAGAAAATTGAAACCAAACATGGTCACAATCATCATTTGGATATTAACTTAATTTTACCTCAACCAAATGTTATGAAACCTATACACAATGTGTATTACCACAAAACTTGGATCAATTTCGAATTAAGCATCACTTTTATCGTTCTTGAGTTAAGTCCTTTTATAAAGATATATGCAAGTGGGGGCATCATCTGTGTCCCATTAACACATTCTCCATTTATATTTAAAAGATCTGTCATTTTATCCTGCCTGCCAACGGCAACCTACATGGAGAACATGGCTAAAATTAGAACAGAGGGGTAAAATGCAAGTTTTTCTATTATCTTGAAAACTTAGATAGAGAAAATTTGACAGGGCAGAAATGTTCAGTATGTTGAGTACCTACTGTCCATTAATATCAAAACTGTCAGAAAACTGCTTATAGGAGTTATTGCACTAAAATGACTAAAGTTTACCAATTTTTCATTCAAAACAAGATCTCCAAATGAGAATATTTACCATTTTTTTGTCATTTTGCCTGTTAATTGAAAACTTTGATAGATAGATACATGTAAATATTTAAATAGGAAAAATTATCAAAAAGACAAAATCTACAAATTAGTGTACATGGCCCAAATCGTCAGGTAAGATAAAATCCACAAGCACGTCAACATTGCAGAAATTGTCAGTTAACTCCTATAATATAGGAGATATTTGATAGTGATATTAATGATTATTTTAAATTATGTTTGCACTCTTGGCAAAAGCTTTGGTGGATAAAGAAATACTGTACTGTAAACAGCAAAAATTATCAGAAAAAGAAGATTTACAAATAGGTCAACATAGCAGAAATTGTCAGATACAGAGGAGTTATTGCCCTTAATTGACGATTTTTACCCTTTTTTCATTGGGCAAAAATAATAGAAAATAGAAACTGCAAAGAGTAAAAATGTTCATCAAGACATGGTCATAAAAAAATTTGTTTTGACATAAATTATAGTCTACAATGTTGGAGAGTGACCATTGTTGAAAATGGGCATAGATCCAGGTGAGCGACACAAGCTCTTTCGAGCTTCTAGTATATGTAGTACTCTACAGGAATTATATTGGTTAATCATATTTTATTGTAATTGGTCTACGATTCACAAAAATAAATGAAGTATGTGTTTCATCTCCATACATATCATATTGTAAAACAACTTTCTAAAACTTGTTTTGCTTTACATGCTTTTTAATTTGAATTTTTATCCAATTGATAGTTTAATACAGTTTTTTACGACTGGTAATCAATTTTTTCCGTCGTACTGCGATCAAATTTTGTTGAAAGATATTTGATTTGTTTTTTTTTTGAAAATTTAAAAAACATGAAAATTTAACACTAAAAAGGCCCTTTAGAAGCAGTATCTACTAAAGTCTTCATTTTTAAAATAAAAAACTTATAAGCCTTGTAAATGTCGTAACTTTATAGATATCAATGAAAAATATGTGTCGTGTCAATTTCACGACCCCAGTACACGTAATTAAGAGCAAAGCCACATTTCCCCCGTCATTTTAAGACCAATCGACAGGTCAGTTTCATGAAAGTCATAGCTATATATAAGTAAGGATGTGGTATGATTTCCATTGAATGAACTATCCACAAAAGTTCTAATAAAGTGGAGGTAAGCAATTATAGGCCTTCAACAATTAAAAAACCCATACCGTATAGTCGGCTATAAAAAGTCCCGACCTGAATAATATGAAACAATTCAATAGAAAAAACTAACGGCCTAATTTATAATAAAACAGTTCACGAAAAACAAATATGACGGACATGAACTAACGACAACCACTGAACTACAGGCTCCTGACTTTGGACAGACCAATATAAAATGTGGCGGGGTTAACATGCTTAAAGGTGACAACCCTCCCCAACCTGGGACTGTGGTGTAATGGCAAAACACAAGAACGAACTACGCAAAACAAACTAAAAACAAATATGAGAAGCAGCAATAAACGAAAACCACTAAATTACAGGCTACTGACTCTGGACAGGCACATATGAATGCTTACTAATTACAATCGTTATCATAATGGATTTTGTCATGTGATTTGAGGTATCTGAAAGGAGAAACATGGACTTGTTCCATAGAACAATGTCTGACATAATTTTTGTTTTACCTGGTGAGCAATACACACTGACAGATTTAGATACAGACCGTACGTCCCCCAACTTTGACCAGAAAAATATAAACGTTTGCTTTAAACCGTCACAAAAAAGTTTACTCGCTATGATCGACGTTATTTACACCATATCGAACAATTACGCCCCTTTTCCTCGAACCCTTGATCTACCCGGGAGGCTCTAGTAAAATCCTCAGATATTGGTCAGCACGTATAACCATTAGTCACATTTTGTTTTAAATATCATAATGACATTTTCGCCATCAAAGAAACATTTTATTTTTCTTTTTCCTTTCTTTGAAACCGCTTTGGTAATATCGGGGTAGCATGTTCGCCTGGAATGCGAGAAGTCGTGGGTTCGATCCCGGTCGTGTCAATCCAAAGACTTGAAAAATGGTATTCTCCGCCAAGCAGGCGGACTTTAGGAGTAAGAGAAAAGATTGGTCGACTCGGAGTCACAATAATGTGTCATGGTGGGGTTTCATGTCTTCGTGGTGACTGTTATCTTGTGAGGTAGCACTATAAATATCGGGCTAAGCCAGTCGTACTTACAAGTACAAAATAATGATATTGCATTTATATGTTCGGGTCCTGAATATGTATTTATAGTTAAAATTATAATTTTCCCACTGGACGTAAAAGTCGTTAAACACCAATCCATCATCCTTTATTGGACAGTGATGTTCCTTTGATCCCATTTTTTGACAGTATTTTAGTTTCCTATGCTTGCTTGCAATTTGTTAAAAATTGATACAGTTTACAACTAGCAATCTTCGCTAGCCAAGGCCGATTACGATTCGGTCCCACCCTTCTTCTCATTGAAGAGGAGTGGGACCGGGTCGTAACTCTTGTCTAGCAATGATGACAACTAGCAGTATGAAAACTTATCCACCTCCAAGACTGTTTGTATGTTGGTTCTCTAGATTTATTGCAAGTCATATTTAAAAACTGTAGTCCATATTCTGGGTGTTTATGATAACATATCAGTGAGTCAAATACCGACCAGATAATAACATTGAGGAAACAAGAACTAAGGCAAAACATCCTAGTATAAGGACAGCATCACGACCGTTCATATTAAAATAAACTATCTTAATCATACCACATCTCCTCATCTTTATATCAGTGTAGTCCAAGGTTTCAAAATATTTATATTTTGTGTACGTATTGTCAATGTTTCAAACCCTGGAAAACTGTCCGAGACATAATAATATGAATTCGAGATCTCCTTAATATCATCGATTTTAAGAACCTTGAACAAAACTGAAATAAAAAAAAAGATATAAAATAAATTTAACCCTGATATTTATAAGTTTTCTCTTTATCAACGTTCATCACTATTTTATTTCAGTCTGATAAGATATTTTATTCCAATTAAAGGGCCCATGAAGAGCAAAGTTATTTATTACAATGATTTTAATAATTGACAAAATAATTGTGATCAAATATAAATATGAATATAATCATCTCAATTCTAAGATCTTAAACCACAGCCAAACCAGAGCCATACGCATATAAGTAAAAAGCATAACAGTTATATATGATATTAACAGGCAAATATTCTTAATGGTTTACATATAAACATATATGTACTATATTGATAGTTTTCGGAATTAAAAACATTTATAACTGTGACTTGCCTGTAAGTGGTGCTCTCTGTCTATTGCAGTTTATTCAAAATTTTGACCAAATTGCAATTTGTTTTATCAATCAAAGGTGTTCAACTGGTCAGATATTTAAAGAAACTGCTGTAAAAATACAATCAAAAGATAGTGATCAACGTTTATTTTATTTTATTTTATATATATATATATATATGTAGCAATATAGGTCCGTTTCTCGGATACGTATAGCAAAACGTTAGATCAATGATTTATGTAGTGTATGGAATAATTATAAAGTGTACATGTTCGTCTGGTAGGGTTCATCTAATATTGACCCCATGTCCATGATTCATTGATCAATATTAAGGTTTGAGGCCCCTCATGGGGTGTCTAAGTAATCACATAATCACAAATTGTGTGCCAATATAATCACATAATCATTAATTATCTTTTTCAACAAGATAATCAAATAATCAAAAATACAGTCCTAGATTATCAAATAATCAAATAATCATGAAATATTTGGCCTGGTAATCAAATCATCGCTATAAAAACGGCCAAGTAATCACATAATCAAAAACCCCATGAGGAGGCTCAGGTTTTGTAGTGATGTTCGTTTATCAGATGCTATAAGCAAAAGGTAAACTATAGAATGAGTTTTAGGCTTACAAGTTCGTTTAGTAGGGTTCATCTGACCTTGACATCATTGTCATAGTTCATTGTTCAACATAAAGTTTTAGTGATATAGTTGGTGTATGGAATGATTGCGAGGTGTGTAAGTCCGTCTGGTAGGGTTCGTCTGACCATTAACTCATTTTCATCGGTCTTGACGATGTTAAGATGATGTAATACCTGTAGACATAGTAAACCTCGATTTTAAAGACTTTTTCCATAAAGTTCAATCAAGATTAGTAAAGCAGTTGAGACAATTCAGCATGAGCACATTTGGTAATATATAGTCTGCAAATGCGTTATTTAACTATAGTATTTTCTTAGATACTAACGATCGAGGATCCCAGGTCGGGTCAAACAATACATACAATACAAAAGTATTCCCGATTATCATTTGTAATATTAAGGGGTATCAATGGCGGGGGGGGGGGGGGGGGGGGGGGTTCCGGGGGTTGGAACCCCCCTTTTTTTTGGACGATCAATGCATTTGAATTGGGACATATAGTTGGAACCCCCCCTTTATCCTGGG